AAAAAAAAGGTCAAAGACAAAGCTATTCGGTTTCTTGTGAGTACATACACTACACTGCCGATGTAGGGGGGCGCCACCTAAAATCTTGGCTAGGGCGCCAGATTGGTTAGGGCCAGGCCTGCTCTGAATACAGGGCCAGAGAGAATTTTTTATTTTTATTTTTTTACAGAAGCTTGAAGATATCTTATGCAACTGCCAGCCAGATGAGTGTCTTTTTTTGGCTGGAGAGTTTAGCTGTATAGAAAATAATCAGTTGGACAGGAATCATTTAGAACCTCATTTGTGCACTTAAACATTTCTAAAGTGTTTGACAGAAGCACAGTCTTTAGTTGATGTAGGGAAGGATATGTACAATCAAGAAAGACAATATACATGGGCCAGGAGTAGAGAACATTTTTGTCTGCAGCTAGATTAGACAGCTATTATTTTTTTCTGGAGAGTGTATACATGTAGAAAATATGATTTTATGTCTTTAATGCAGTGATGGGATTGGAGAAAAACTGAAATCAAAGAATTTTGTCAACAGTATACTGTCAATGTCTCTTCGGCCAAATATATGAGAGAACTGGAGATTGACATAGTGGAGCTACAGGTGTCTGCAGATTTCACAGGAGCTCAAGGTTGGTTTGAGAACCTCAAGTCTCTCCCTGATAGACATACAAGTTTTTCTTTTCATTGGAAACCCCCCAAAAGGACAGATCAAGTTCATGCATGGTTTGAAATCATCTGCTGGAGATCTTATAACAGCAGATAGTTGACATCAAGTGAAGCACAGTGGATCTTTACTCAGATCTTTATAGCTTTTAAAAGACTTTTAATAACTTCTGGACTAGTCAATCCAGAGTTTCTGAGGAGTTCAACAAGGAGCTGGGGGAGCCTCTAACATTAAAAGAAGTTTATACTGCTTTACAAAGTATGCCAGTAAGTAGAGCTGGGCGATAGAACGATAACGATATGTATCGCGATATAACTTTTTCTTGATAGAAAAATTAAACTATCGCGATAGACCTCGCTGCTCTTGTCCTCTTAAAAAAAAAAGAAAAAGAAAAAAAAGAACAGCCAATCCAAATTAAGTAGCGCAGAGCCGAACCAATCACAGCCGCAGCGTCACGTCACATGACTTGTTACGTACAGCACAAGTGCCAAGCCGCACATGTGTATTTGTTTGGGAAGCAGCCAGCCATCGTACCGCCCGGGTAATGGAGGAAATGAGTGTGCCGACTAGAAAAATCAACCGAGCGTGACCGAAGAGAAAACAGATGATGGTTCCAATGCCGGAGAGATTGTCGAACGGAAGAGCCAAAGAAGTTCCGTAGTGTGAAGGTATTTCGGCTATTTCAAGTCTGACAAAAAACAGAGTAGCGTGCACTGTAAATTGTGCCGAAAGCAAGTCTGGAAATACAATAAACTGGTGCATGCGGTACCAAAAACTGCGTTTTTGGTCACTGAAAACAAAGATTTTTAAAAACTCAGTTTTTGCATTTACGTGTGGACTAGAAAAACCGAGAAAACGCAGCATCAAAGGTGTGCGCATTTTTGGACGTCACACTGTGCGCCACGTTATTGTTTCGGTGAAATGAATTTCTACAATACTGTTACTGTTAATTCTACTCTCTGCAGTGTTTAAATGCTTACATAAACACACAGTTACTGTCGCTCCACACATACGACTCTGTTCTGCTTCTATGCCCCAGCTTTGTTTACTTTTTCCCACCGAGGCTTCTAGACTTCTGATTGGCCAACATTTCTGCACGGTTAGGAATCTAGCTCCACCTGCTGCTTTGGCATGTTCATAGCAGCGTTTTCCTTCATTTCTCCCTTTATGTGTGGACGGGATTATTTTTTAAAACGAAAACGGAAAATCTCCCTTTTCAAAAATACCCGTGTACGTGTGGACGTAGCCTCAGTCTCTGACTGGAAGCGCTAATTCGTCATTCGGCTTTTGTCAGACTAAAGTAACTGTTAAAACTGTTTGAAAAGCTAAGCTATACAACAAGGAGAGATTGAGAATTTCCTTTTAGTTCTCAGTTTATTTGATATTGACAAAAGTTAGTCAGTTTTGTCTGTTCTTCTGTAAAACAAACTAAGATTTATTTTTAGAATTAATATTTTGTTTCTAAGTGGAATTGACAATTTAGTCTGTTTCGTTTGTTCTATTTTGAAACAAATGCTTTAGCGGCTGCCTTTTGTGTAGTTTGCAATATTTGCCTTTATTTATCTGAAAAAGTCTCATGTTCCTTAAGTACATCTACCCTGTTGAACTTATTATGGGAAATAAATATTTAAATAAAAACAAGCTGCTGATTATTTCACATTTTACTTGTGAGCAACAGCACATTTAAATCTTACAAATATAGTTATTTGGCTTATATCGTGATAGATATCGTTATCGCCTGAAATGAAAAAAACATATTGTGATATGAAAAAATCTTATATCGCCCAGCTCTACCAGTAAGGCACAATAAAGCTTTTTGGTCTGACCTTTGTGATGATATCATGGAGGTTGTTGAGAAGGGCTTCGCTGAAGTTTTTTTTGCCTCAGAGCTACACGAGAGCTGTTCTAACATTCTTACCAAAGAAAGGTGATCTCCACTATATTAAGGACTGGTGGCCTGTCTCTTTATTGTGCACTGATTATAATGTGCACTGTCAAAAGTGCTGGCAAACAGACCAAAGAAGGTGATGAATCATGTTGTCCACTGAACACAAACCTACGGCGTGCCAGGCAGGTCTATTGTTGATAATGTGTCACTAGTCAAAGATATTCTGGAGGTCTCAAGCTCATTGTGATGTCATATTGTTGGGGTCCCACAACTTCCAGGTGGTTTGAAATGGAAAAGAGGATGTTTGAAGTATCTGGGTGTGTAACTGGGACATGAAGACACACTAAACAAGAATTGAGGGGAAGTTAGGGAAGTGGAGATGGTTGTTACCGCAGATGTCATATAAAGGCAGGGTGCCTATTATAAATATATTATAAACTACGTTTGTTTTTTATTGTGGCATAGATTAACTTGTTTAGAGCCCCCTTCCTTATTATTAAATAAATTCAGTCTTTGATGATCAAGTTTTTTTTGGGATAACTGACATTGGATATCCCAGGCTGTGCTTTTTTTGCACAAAGAAAAAGGTGGACAAGGACTAGTTCACCTAGAGAGCAGAACTGCAGCTTTCAGAATGCAGATAATTCAGAAATACCTGATGGGAAGGGAAGAACATGTTTTCAGGAAACCAGTAACTAGTGTTTTGTAAGAGGAATGGGATAGTTGGGAATGGATAATTTTATGAAATTGTAATTTGATCTCATCTTCTTATTAAATGCCAATGTTTTATAACAGCCTTTTTAAAGCTTGGACCATTTTCAAATGGTCATTTTACTGGTTAAATATTAAAGCTGAATTTCTGTTTTATTAATTGGTGGATCATTTGACAGATTTTTTCTCTCAGTTGTGTTTTAATAATGTGGTCTGTTCTTTTGTCGATGGTCAATATTATTTCAACCATGTGTTTTTTGACTGCTTTTTTATTTTGTTAAAAAAAAACTTGTGATGTCCTCGTATTTATTTATTTAGAAATAAATGTGTGGTTAAAATCCAATCGTTCTTTCTTTCAATTAAGTTAAATTCTATTTAATTTCAACAGTTGCCTCGAGGTGCTTTAATTTGAAAAGTATTGTAAAGTAAAGACTGTACAATAATAGGTTAATAATAATATCATGATGTCAGTGAGAGCAGCAGCCCCCGTCACCAGTTTCTGAAGTATTTTGTCAGTAAATTAGCTAAAAGGTAGATATAGGACACCAATACAGCTGGTTTCAAACAGTCGTTGAACATGGGGGCACATTTACACTACATTATCTACTTTACTTAAAAGGAGGAGACATGGTCAGTGATGCCTGGCTGTATAATTATGAACCTACAAATGCATGTACTTTCCTTTTCTTACAATGCATACCTTCTAATGCGGGAAGTTGATTGTAGCATATTCCAGAGGGATTTCTGCATGTCTTCATGCATGATCTTCCACAAGGCTTATAGTGCCATTCACACTGTCCATCAGGGTTGTAATAATCACAGAATACAGCTAATAAAACAAAAGTAATAAATCATAAATAACAATGAACTCGATTTTACATTAAACCTTATTTGTAAACTTAGCTCATGCTGACAGTTATTATTATACTTTGCATTTTATATGTATCTTGTCACAGAAAAATAAAAAAAAACACTCACGGCAGATGGTGGGAGTTCTCCATTTCACGCACACTCCTGCCTCATTACAGGCTGCTGCATAAGCTGCTACAGCTGAACAGAAACACTCACAATCTCCTCCTGAATTACAGGCACACGTGTCTCTCACACAGGCATCAAAATATTGTTGGGGATCCACCTTTTTGGAATAAGTAATTGTAAATGTAAGTAAAGAGTGACTTTGGTCCATTATAGCCTAAATGTTTACTTACATTCATAAACACTTACCTTTGAATAGCAGGCCTCAAATACTGCACTCTTGATAATGCTGCAGTGCTTCACTGCCCATGCCTGTCTGTGTGAGTACAGTGTACATGCATCCTTTGGAGTTTGTGCACTTGAGCAGCTAGGTGACACTTGCCAGCTGTTTCCGAATATAAGGGGATCAACCACAACTTCTTTATTTCTGGTAGTGAAATCATTCTTGATATTTCCATCAAAATTTCCACACAGACCGCAGACTTTGCCCTAAGACAAGAACAAGTTTGTTTAAATATCTCTATCTCTCTATCTATCTATATATGTGTATGTGTGTGTGTGTGTGTGCTCACAGACCTTGAATGTAGATCTGAGTTTTATCATGAGGGTTGTCTTTTTATCCCAAATGACAATAAGGCCATTCTTCGCTTCAATGACGAGATATAAACCCAAAGTGTGGACTTGATAGGGTATTTCTTCCCCACTGTTTTTTTTAAAAACTTTGATATGTTCATCTGAGAGACGAATTTCACTGTTCTGTTAAAAACAAAACATGCTAATTGGGAATTGGGAAAAACGATGTGACCATTTAGGAACATTAATACGTATGGATTTGCAACAATTGTAGACCAGATTACAGTACCCAGCAAAAGGTTAATATTTAATTTTTTGCCATGCTTAATTTTCAAAAATAGAACAGGGCTCATGTTGAAACACACAGTCCAACTCACTATATTAATGACAACACTGTGTACCCTGTTTCTTTTTCAAAAAACCCATTTTCTCATATAGTGATAATAATAATGAGGTAATAGCATAGCATAGCATAGCATCTTTATTTATGACGCACTTTACATCCAACAATGTTGACCAAAGTGCTACAAATATAAAACAGAGAGGAAACAGTTTAAATTACATATAAAATATCTTAAAATTAAAAATAATATAATTAATAAGAAACATATTAAGAGACATCAACAAGTCCTGCTATGCTAAAAGCCAAGGTAAATAAATATGTTTTAAGACGTGATTTAAAAACAGATAAGGAAGGTGCCTGTAATGCATAATTATTAATTATTAAGGTATCTATCTTTTTAAAAAAACAACTTGTAAATGCAATTTCTGTTCATATTTACATACCCCTAAATAGAGCGTGATGTCAAAGGAGCAGACGCTTTCAGCATTTTCGCAGGGGATGCTCTCAGTCAGTACCTGAAAGGTGCCGTTCTCACCTCCACAGGAATCCTGCAGGATTCTCATGTCAGTATCACAGGACTGATTTTAACAGGTCATAAAGATTAAACATAAGTGCAGACTGTACCTGGGTGAAGATGTAGCTACAGCCTCCACTAAAGGCAAATCTTGATTCATCAAAAGTGATGTAATTCCCTGCTCCATAAATGGTACAGGTTCCACCACAGTCTTGACCTGTACATTCCCATATGCTGCTTTTGCATGTGCTTAGATTTGAAAAGGGAAGTTAAATCTTGTTAAATAACTATTCCCAAAGCCCCCCCCCCCCCCCCTTCAGTGATGTGAAAAACATGCTTGGGGACACCAGAGTTTGAGTATTATTTAGTGTGTTTTTAAAATATACTCTTTATTTAAACAGAGTTGATGGATGGTACGGTGTACATTTTAGGACATCGTCAGGTATCAGAAAAAAAAATGTCAGGTGTCAGTTGTCAAAAAAAAATTGTCAGGTGTCAGACAAAAAAATGTCAGGTGTCAGAAAAAAAATTGTCAGGTGTCAGACAAAAAAATGTCAGGTGTCAGAAAAAAAATTGTCAGGTGTCAGTTGTCAAAAAAAAAGTTGTCAGGTATCAGAAAAAAAGTTGTCAGGTATCA